AAAATTTTGGGGGGCGGCTCTCCTTAAGGGGGGCGGGGGGCTAACTTTTTTTTTTCAAATAGCAACCCCCCCTTTGTGATACCTCATTCGAAAGCTAATAAAAAAAGAAAATTTTTGGCGGAAACCGCAGGTCGAAATGTTCATTTTTGACAAAATGGCGGCCGGTCAAAGTTCATTATGGCGGAAATTTGGCATCTCCGTTGTTTATTGACGGATCGGTGTGAAACTCGGAATCCTGGGGTTTTTCGGGATGAGAAAAACGATTCTGGCATTGGTTTTCCAGAAAAGTCTGTCCTTTTCAAAATGGCGGCCTCGAGCGGGAAGTGGATATTTAGGCTGCATATCGTTGGATTTGCATGAAACTTGGTATCTGGGGGTATTTCGGCAGGAGAAGAACGAATCTTTCATTGGATATCTGAAATTTTGACAAATTCCAAAATGGCGGCGGGAAAATGGCGGGAAATTAGTGTTACGGCTGTTTACTGATGGATTGGCATGAAATTATTTGATATTTCAAGAATCTAATGAAAGATTCCTTTTTAACCAGCCGAAAACCGCTGGGATATCGAATTTCATGCAAATCCATCGGTAAAGAGCCGTAAAACTGATTTCCCGCCATTTTTGAATTTGTCAAAATTTCAGATATCCAATGAAAGATTCGTTCTTCTCCTGCCGGAATACCCCCAGATACCAAGTTTCATGCAAATCCAACGATATGCAGCCTAAATATCCACTTCCCGCTCGAGGCCGGCATTTTGACCGCCGCCATTTAGAAAAGGACAGACTTTTCTGGAAAACCAATGCCAGAATTGTTTTTCTCATCCTAAGAAACCCCAGGATTCCGAGTTTCACACCAATCCGTCAATAAACAACGGAAATGCCAAATTTCCGCCATTTTGAACTTTGACCGGCCGCCATTTTGTCAAAAATGAACATTTCGACCTGCGGTTTGCGCCAAAAATTTTCTTTTTTTTATTAGCTTTCGAATGAGGTATCACAAAGGGGGGGGGTTGCCATTTGAAAAAAAAAGTTAGCCCCCGCCCCCCTTAAGGGGGGCCGCCCCCAAAATTTTTGGGGGACCAAAAAGTTGCTACCTTAGACCGAGGAACATTCTCAAAATTTCAAACTTCTATCTCAATTTGGAAAAAAGTTACAGGGGTGGTCAGTGACTTTTGGATAACCCTGTATATCAATGTCCATGGCTAGGGCTATTGTTCCTTTTTGTAAGAAGAATATTTTTTTTACCATATAAACACGGGTAGGAACTGTAGATGACACTGTCCGTGCGAAGCACGGGTTGAACTGCTTTTGTATAATAATACGCTTACCTTTCTCCAAAAACCATCAAAGATCTTGATTTTGGAAATTTAGGTAACTTTTAAAATTTAAATTTCAAAAATAAAGATGTGTTTGATGTTTTTTGGGGAAAGTGTGGGTACGTAACATACATCAGTTGACCCACCACATCCTTGAGAAGTCAGTCGTGGACATATTTCACATTTGCCGAAAAGTCGGCTGAATTCGAAAAACTATAGTGTTTCAATTTCTAATGTAATTTTCCGAATCAAATGAAAAAGTACTCGTCAAATGTCTGATCGACTGTGGTAGAACATTATATAGGTGATCACGCACGCGGCACGCCTCATATTTAATGCGGGCTCTTATTTTCTCTTCGAGTAAAGTGATTGAGATGGTAGCACTTTCCTCACACCGATATTCTAAATATAACCTGGTGTTGTCGGGAGGGTGATCTTGTTTTCTCAGCTTACAGAGCAGCAACAACGGGGCAACGTAGGACGTAGAATATTTAATGTTGAATGTCATTTTACTCATTTCCCAGTATTTATGGGGAGGTTTCCCCGCGGCTGCCGACGCCGCGCCGCGTGGCAATAGCTCCCTATTGGCTGTCCCGTCGCGTCAACCTCGCGTGCTGCGCTGTGTGTTCTTGTTCCGAGAGCAGTAATTACCGTCGTGTTTTAATCAACTAATCCAGTTTTTACTGTTCACCTCTCCAGCAACCTATAATCCCTAATCCCGTTTGCGGCTGACCTCTACTCCGTCGCGCCTTAAAGGGAAATTTAATCGAATCTAACGATACCTACCCATAAAACTCTGATCACCGCTTCATGAGCTTGACAGATCGAGTGTTCAATGGGGAATCTGTTTTGAGTTTGACAGGAATGCGAGGTTTCTAGATGGAGAAATAGTTTGAGACCGAAAAAGCACTTATTAGTGGAAAAGGAAAAATTAATGTGGCTCGTGTATGCGTCAGAGATTTGCGATTTATATACTTCTGTAAGTAAATTGTCGCAAAAAACACGACTGCCTCACTATTTTTTTCTGAAACTAAGTCCAAAGCTAAACAAAACTTAAGAAGTTTAAGAAATATCGGGACTATTAGGTACTACTTTGAATATTATAAAGGACCAAACGCCAAGTACTAATAACAATTCGCTAATTGATGCTGTTCGCTGTGATGGGGTGATTGTTTCTGATCCTGCTAAAATAGCTAATGTTTTCCATGAACATCTCACCTCCCTGCATAATACGTTTCCAAGTAATTTAGCTCATTTTAGGGCTCTTGAGATGACAAAAAAGTCCCTGAAAAACCCCCCTCCAACGTTTACATTCTCCCAGATAACGCTAAATGAGCTATACTCGTGTGTCTGTAGTCTCAAGCCAAACAGAGCTGATACAGATGGCTGTAGGTATACCTCCATTTTTCTTTCGTGACTATTTTTCTATCATTGGTGAGCATCTGTTTGTGCTGATTAATACATTTATCGTGACAGGTGTGTTCCCGCACTGCTTTAAATCTGCCAATGTAACTCCTTTGTTTAAAAAGGGTTCAGGCAGGATGTATCTAACTATCGACCTATTTCCGTTCTTTCTACAATAAGCAAACTATTCGAAAAAATCCTATTTAAGCAGCTTCTAATGCCACTTTGAGTCCAATAACCTGCTATATCATCACCAGTTTGGCTTTAGAAAGGATTTATCTACCACCCATGCTCTGTATAAACTTATAGACAAAGTTCTCACCGCCTTTGAAAAAAAAACTTCCTGTAATGAGTATACATTTTGATTTAACTAAAGCTTTCGATCTCCTCAATCATCCTTTGCTACTCAAGAAATTACATTTATACTGTCTTTCTGAAAATGGCATAACGCTCATTGCTTCATATCTTTCTGACCGTAATCAGAGAGTAAAAATTGACTCTGTCAATGGACCCATTCTTTCTAGTGTCTTACCCTTAATGACCGGAGTCCCTCAGGGATCAATTTTAGGCCCACTCTTATTTATCATTTTCATGAATGACCTTCCCTTTAATGTCAAATACCCTATTTTACTATTTGCGGATAACACTTCTGCCTTAGTTGAGGGTGGAGATGTAGGTAATACTTATTAAGGCTCGTGAAGTGTATGATCAGGCCTCCGCCTGGTTTAATGCCAACGATCTGACGGTTAATCAAAGTAAGACACAAGTTTTAATGTACTCAGCCGGTTCTTGTAATTCTCCATTCATTGATTATTGTATTCCAGGAGACGCAAATAGTATTCGATTGGAAAACTCTGCTGAGTTTCTTGGTATCCAAATAGCTAAAGGGCTCACCTGGAAAGAACATACCAGTAAAGTTATATGTAAATTAAGCCCGAGCATCTTGGGTCCAGCTGCGCAACCTGTCAAGAATATCTACCCTTCAGTGTTGCTTAGCATTCTATCATGCCCATGTTGTTTCCCATATGAGATACGTACTAATCCTGTGGGGCCGTAGCACTGGAGCACAACGAGTTTTCATGTTACAAAAAAAACTCGTCAGAATTATGTTTAATATGCCCTGGAATGCCCACTGCCGCCCAATCTTCATAGAGCACAGATTGTTCACCCTGACCTCCCTTTATATCTTGGACAGCCTAAAGTTTGCAACCTCAAATGGATTGCGGTATCTCCTTCCGATCTTCTACCGTCCCATAATTACAACAGCAGGCATAGAGATATCAAAAACGTATAAAAGTCCGACTGAAACTATCTGAACAAGATTGAAAATTTTCGGCTATCCAAATTATAAATGCTCTACCCTCATAGGCGTAGCTAGGGGGTCCTGGGGGGGCCTGCCCCCCAGAAATCTCGTGCCCCCCCCCAGAAAAACGGGATCCTCCATTCCTCACCCCCCCCGCTCTCTTCACCACGAGAGGTGGTCCCATGCCCCCCCCCCCAGAGAAATTTCCTAGCTACGCCCCTGTCTACCCTGGAACATCAAAAAACAACTCCGCGACGGTGATATACAGAAATTTTTCAATTTACTTCGAGTCTCCTTTTAAGCAAGGCATTTTATAATTTGAACGAGTTTCTGAATTCAGCTGTTGAGTAACGTTCTACTAACTGTTGGAGGATGTCTAAATCAAGACAACACTAAATGAAGTTTAAGACATATTCTATTCCGGCATAGAATATGGATGAAACTGATTGACAAAAATACACACGCAAGGCGCATAGAGAGAGAACAGGATAGAGTAGGCAACATAGAGTAACAAGAGGGTTGGAGTGCTTACGCACTGACAATACAGATTGTGCAGTAGGATTATCACTACCTTCCAACACACCCCCTTAATCCGGATGCACATGATGTGGGATATATAAATGATGAAAGAGAAAAGTAAGGAAAATGATCAAATTGAGAAATTTGAAGAAACACCTGGAAGAGGTTTACAGCAGTTCTCTTGACTGCAGCATGTTTTCAACACAGAAGATATGCTTACTTTTGTTAAGGGTTTTAGTTAAAACATCTGCTATCATGAGATCGGTTGGTAAATACACAAGTTTAATGATATTTTTATTGATAGCTTCACGAATAAAATGGTGGCGGACATCAATATGTTTAGTTCTATGATGAACAGTTGTATGTGATGCCAATTCTTGAGCACTTTGATTGTCATTCAATACTGAAATACAAATGCTGTTTTTAATTTTAAGTACTTCGTGATGTAAGTTAAATAAAAAAAACTGATTCTTTTGAAGCTTCCGCCATACTCATGTATTCCGCTTCAGTGGATGATAGAGCAACCGTCGACTGTTTTTTGCTGCACCATGAAATTGGAGCATTGCCAAACTTAAATAGATATCCAGTGTAGGATTTACGATCAATGGGGCAATTAGCATAATTAGCATCGGCATAGGCGATGATAGGCATACCAGTTTTCTTATAGACAAGGCTGAGATCTGAAGTCCCTTTTAAATAGCGTAATATCCGTTTTGCACCTTGCCAGTGAATTGGCTGAGGACAGCTGTTGAATTGACTGAGAAGGCTTACAATATGAGCTATATCGGGGCGAGAACCTACAACTAGGTACATAGTGCTCCAATTAGGTTTTGATAGGGTATATTAGTCATGTCGACCATTTCTGTTTGTGATTCATTTTTGTCTTGCTGTTGAGGTTTTTTCCCGTCATTATTAATGGACATTAAAGGCGTACAGTGCTGTCTGATAAGCTCAACCGTGCGGTCGCATGCGGTTCAGCGCTCTCCGTTATCAACTGTGATAATCTCTCGTGCCAAGTGTCTCTGCTGCCGTGGCAGCTTGTGCTTTTACGAAATACTAACCTACAAAACAAAAATCGGTAAAAATTGAACTTTTCTCTTACTACCCCTGCAATGGCAGGGGTAGAACAAAATATTACCACACCCACAAGTGGTAAAAAACCGCCAGATAAAAACACTCTAATCGGACAAGTGCTTTCGGTTGATCTAAATCCAACTTTAAATGACACTCGTGTTTCTGATCAAGTTAAATCTTTTATGGCGCATTCACAGAATCTGGTTAAAACGTTAAACGACGAAAACAAAGTGCTAGAAAACAAACTAAGTGCAGTTTCTGGCGAAAACAAAGTGCTGGAAAACAAACTAAGTGCAGTTACTAGTAAGTTAATATCGCAAGATGAAATTATCGCGTCTCTCCAAACGCAAATAAATGAAGTGAAACAACAAAAAACAGGTAATTCACAACCTACACCTAAAGATATTAACCCGAAATTTGTTAAGGAAGTAACGAAATCGAGCAAACCTTCTGGACAATCGAAAATTACTCAGTTCACCAAAGATGGTTCTAAGAACCCATCTTCAAGCAGCTCTAATCAAACTGCGGATACTAAACTGATTGCAACTAGCAATAAATTTGTCACTCTTCAACATGAGGATATGGAAATTGCAACACTAGAGGATGATGATGCTCCCGCCGATGATGCCTCTCTTTCGGAGGATGCCGAGTTCTCGAGATCAGATCCCGAGTTTCGAGCCAAACGTCTAATCTACAGGCAACAGCGCAAAAAGAGGAAACGAGGAAACTCCAGCCCACAGGATGAAACTTCGAAGGAAAATAACTCTAAGGAACCTAAGGATAAGTTAAATAATAATTCTAATACTAAGTCTAGTGTTAAGGTTACAAAGATTCTCCCCCCTCCACCAATTAAAGTGGTGGGAATTAAATCTTTCGAGGAAATTAAGTCCTTACTAAAGGAAGCCTCCCCAGAGGAGGAGTTTACTATTCGTTTTCTAAATAATGAAACCTGGAAGGTGAATCCTTCTTCTGATGAAGCTTACAGGAAAATTTCCGAAAAATTAAAAGTAAATAATACCCAATGGTATTCTCATAGTAACAAGAATACAAGGAACATTAAGGTTCTCTGCAAAGGTTTACCTCCTTCTATCTCAGAAGAAGAAATTGTTGAGGATCTTCAAGCCAAGAACTTTAAAATTAAATCTGCAGTTTGTCTTAGAAAAAGAGTAGAAAAAGAAATACAAAAAAATAAAAATAAAAACCCGGAAAATACCCAGGCAGATCAAATTTCAAATCCCCCCCCTCCTTCTAAAAAGGAAATTAAGGAGTATGAGCTGATCAAAATCCCGGTACATCAGCTGGATTTCGATCATACAGAATCTGTAGAAAATATTTTTAAAATTAAATCAATTGCTCACACAATTGTGAAAATTGAACAGATTAAAACTGATCCTCTAATAGTCCCTCAATGTAGACGCTGTTGTGGCTGGTCGCACACAGCAAACTATTGTTTTAAGGCACCACGATGTGTAAAATGCTCGGGTGAGCATTTTTCCCATTTATGCCCTTTTCCTGGTCGTATTCAAAACCCCAAATGTGTCAATTGCGGAGCAACAGGGCACCCAGCCAGCTATCGTGGCTGCCCGTTTGCCAAGGAGTTTCAGCTAGCGAGGAAAAACCAATTAAAAGCTAAAAAATCCCCCCCTCAAACAGGGAAAAATTTCCCTAAGTTAAATAAAAAGGATGCCCCTACGGCAAATAAGCCAAAACCTCTTGAAAAATCTTTTGCCCAAGCTGTGTCTGATAACAGAGTATCTGATTCTTCAAATCAGACTGATATTATAAACACTTTGCTCAAAACTATTGAATCATTAAATACTCAGATTCAATTGCTTAACGAAAAAATTAGTCGCTTAGAAGCAAAAAAATGATTCATCTTTTTCTATGTGTAACTCCGATAATGAAAATGTCTTTTTGTCTCACACTAACAATGACTCATTACTTGTTTCAGAACAGAATGATAAGATTATTGATTTCGATGATGTAACTCGAATGCAATCGCGCTCGAGCAATAACAGATCACTAAACCTTATGGCTTGGAACTGTGGCGGCCTGTCCCGGGTGAAGGCCGAGGAATTCAATGTCACGCTAAGGGATTTCAATGTGGATATAGCCCTCCTGTCGGAGACCTGGTTCACTAAGAATGATTTTAAAAGGTATTTCGTTGGTTATAAAATGTACAACGCTATACATCCTGAGAATAAACGCCGCGGCGGGTCCTCGGTGCTAATCAAAGATAATATCAAGCATAACTTGATAAAAATTATTGAAACTGCAGCATTCCAGAGCGCAGTAATTAATCTAGAAACCGAAGTTGGCAACTTCAATCTAGCCTCATTATATACTCCTCCTAAAAATGTATTATCCGCTGAAGATTATACAGATTATCTTAGTGAACTGGGACCCTCATTTATGGTTGCAGGGGACTGGAACGCTAAGGATCCCAGATGGGGCTCCAGGATAACGAATCCAAAAGGAAAATCTCTCCTGGAAGCAGCAAATTTATCTGATAGTTACTTTATATCACCCGGTAAACCAACCAACTATCCGTATGATCCAAATCACAAACCTGATATTATTGATTTTTTCTTATATAAAAATTTAAATTTGTTAGACAAAATTTCCTGTGATATACTACCACCCCCATTAAGCGGTCACGCAAAAATTATTTTATCTATTTTTACAAACCCAATTCTAATAAATCGCCCCCCTTCTATTTGCTCGAAAAGAACAAATTGGGAAAAATTTAGAAAAGATCTAGAAAAATTAGTGGATAATAGCGTTCCAGTCTCCTCTCCAGCGGATATAGATAGAGAGACTGAGCTGTTAGTGGAACAAATTAAAAAATGTGCAATTGCTAATACGCCTATTGCAGTTAATAACACCCGCCCCTATAAAATTCCTAAAGAACTTTTAAATTTAATTAGAAGAAAAAGAAAAGCTCACAGAAAGGCAGTTAACTCAGGAATTCCAGAGGATAAAAGTCACTTCAACCGCCTTAATAAAATAGTTAAAAAACGAACCCAAGAATTCCTTAACTTTAAATTTCAAAATTTTGTAGAATCTTTATCACCTTCAGCTGACAAAAATTATTCCTTGTGGGCAGCTACAAAATATCTAAAAAAACCCAAACAACTAAAATTTCCAATCAAAAGAGTAGATGGTTCATGGGCAAACTCGGACGCTGAAAAAGCGGAGATTTTGGCGGAACATTTTGAAAAGGCATTTAAACCCCATAGCGACATAAAATCAAATACATCTTCAGAATCTGATGAAACTTTCTCTGACAGCTCAGTCTCGAATACGCACTCACAGGGGGAGATATCAACATTGAAACCCCGAAAAAAGGTCAAGAAAATCCCTCCAGTAAAGATAAAGACCATTTCTCCCTCTGAACTTTTGAAGGAAATTAAAGGGAAAATCAAGGTTAAAAAAGCCCCTGGCTTTGACAAAATTTCCGGATTAATTTTGAAAAATTTGCCAAAAAAAGCCCTTATGAAGTTGGTCTCTATTTTTATTGCAGCTATTCGATGTAAATTTATTCCATCACAGTGGAAAATAGCAGAAATTTTTGTGTTATTAAAACCTGATAAACCTCCAGCCGAAGCAGCCTCATACAGACCAATCTCTCTACTTCCCGTGATTGGCAAGCTTTTTGAAAGGCTGTACATTAAAAGACTAAACGAAATAGTAAAAGACAAAAATTTAATCATAGACGCCCAATTTGGCTTTAGGGCGCAACACTCCACTGTTGACAAGCTTCATAGGGTCACTAAATTCATTGAAGATTCCCTTGAAAAAGGGGAATACTGTGTAGCGGTTTTTCTTGACGTAGCGGAGGCTTTTGATCGTGTTTGGCACGAGCGTCTCGTTGAAAAGCTGTATAAAATGCTCCCCTGCAACCATGTGGAGCTCCTCTCCTCTTTTCTGTCAGGAAGACAGTTCAGAGTTCGATATGAAAATTCAGTCTCAAGCTTCAGACGGATTGAGGCGGGAGTTCCACAGGGTTCCTGTCTTTCTCCTCTTCTCTACTCTCTCTTTACTACAGACATCCCACAGTCTGGGAGGGGGGGGAAAGTTGGGCATTTACGCAGACGACACTCTCGTGTTATCATCGTCCAGAAGTTACAGGGAGGCACGACAAAATGCACAAATTCATTTAAATAAAATTAATCGTTGGACGGAAAAAGATAAAACGAAATTAAACGCGTCTAAGTCGGTTAAAGTTGTATTCACAAACAGACCGTTTGTTCACATCCCCCTTCTTTTAGGGGAAACTGAAATTCCCAACGATAAAATAGCTAAATATCTCGGCCTCCATCTGGATTCCAGGCTCAGGTGGGGTACCCACATTAAGAAAAAAGTCGCTCAACTGCGACTAAAATTCTCCAATATGCAGTGGCTCTTGGGTCGCAAATCTCGGCTTTCACTTCAACTAAAGCTGCTTCTCTACAAGTCAATGTTGAGGCCGGTTTGGAGTTATGGTTGCCAATTGTGGGGTTGTGCAGCCAAGTCAAATTTGGATAAGATTGAAATCATGCAAATGAAGATTCTCAGAAGTATTGTTAAAGCTCGTTGGTATGAGAGGAACGCAGATATTCGCGCTGACCTCAATATTGACTCTGTAGAGGATTACATCACCAAGATGTACTCTGCGTATGAATTGAGATTGCATCGGCACCCCAACCAAGAAGCGTTTGCGCTCTTGGAATGGGACCGGTGCAGTCGCAGGTTGAAAAGACGTAAGCCCTATGAGCTTGGAATTCAGGGCTTTTCTAAATTCTTCCCTTAAAGCAAGTGTGCCTCCCCGCATCTTCGGACGGATCAGGGGTTCCTTGGTCTTTGACCAGTGACGGTTGTCCACAGTCTTCACAATAAAATCAAAAGACTTTTTATGATTCAACAAAAAGACATTTTTATTTCGGAAATAATCATGTACTTATTATCTCCTCAATATCTGAGGCTGTACTTATTTTTACCTAACATGGTTAAAATACATTTGTATTTTTGTTTTGTTATGTAAAATTTAAATGTATATAGTATTAAGTTATCACTTTAAGTTATATTTAGCTTAAAAAGACAATATAATTTGTCTGTAAGCATTTTCTTTGTACTAAATTGGTTTATTGTACGAATAAAAAAAAAAATTAAAGGCGTAGGTATTGATTTACAATCTGACATGTTAAATTTTTCAAGAAGTCTAAGAATATAGGTTTTCTGATTGACAATGATTTCTTTGGAATTTTTGTCTTGTTTTACATTCATTCCTAAGAACAATTTCACTGGACCTAGATCTTTGACGTTATAGTTGTTTGCAATTTCTTTTTTGAAGTGAGTAAAAGTTTGATCAGATTTATTAAGGACAAGAAAGTCATCAACATAGACACCAATAATAATGGTTGACGATTCACTGATTTTGAAGTAAACGCAAGATTGGTGAGCAGATTTTAGGAATCCTAAGTTTGTTAAAGTGTCATCAACGTGGACATAGAATTGCTTAGCTGCTTGTTTAAGGCCATAGATGGCTCTATTGAGTAGGCACATACTTTGTCTTCTTGACCTTTAACTATAAAGCCCTCCGGTTGCTGCATACAGGGTGTCCCAAAAGTCCCTTCCACCCCCTCTAAAATTTTACCTAATTAATATTTTGAAACGAAACTTTGGGGATGTTCATCGATCAATGTAAGCTACTTTTGAGGCCCCCCAAAATTTTTGGGGCCCCCCGTGGGGAGGGGCTGCGGACCCCAACTTTTTTTTTTTCAAATGGCAACCCCTATCTTGTGATACCTCATTCGAAAGAGCATAACAAATTAAGAATTTTGGCGCAAACCGCAGATCAATATCTTAATTTTTGACCGAGTTATGATAGGTCAAAGGTCAAATTTGACCTATTTTCAAAAAATCATAACTCCGGTTCAAATTATCGTAATGAAAAACAAGCAGTGAACTCCAACACAATGTGTTGATAAGGCGCGTCATTAACTCACACATATCAACCCCTTTAGTTTTCATTTACAGAGATTTCAAAATAGGCAAGTGGCACAACAATTCCAACTTGTAAATAACCTAATAAATATTGATTTCTATAAAAAAAAAAAAAAGTGGCACAACAAGAGAATTCATACGATCCAACTCTTCAACGACGCACTTTGACGAGACCTTGTATTGTGAATGTAGAAAGCCATTCGAACGAGTTTAAGTTTTTTGATCTGCTCCCAGCAATATCTTATCAGATTCTTAAAGAAAAGTGCTACGGAATAATTTAAGCGAAGAAAGGAAAAATTCTGTCGAATCCCTGAAAGATACAGTCGATTTGAAGGTCTTTTTGGGGCTAAAATATCCAAATCACCGGTACCTATTATAAATCCCGATATATTATTGAAAAGAAATTGACTCGATATAAATGCAATTGCATTAAAAAATATGTCTTGATTTTGTTATTTTAAACGTACTTCCATGCAAAGAAGTTCAACCATGTCCATGCTTTATTCATTCATGAATTGAAAGTAAGCAATCTAAATCCCGAAAATCTACCGATTTGCCGTAAAAAATTGCAGAAACTTGATATACCAGGTCGATGCACTCACTCGTTGAATTTACCAACCAATTTCGTGGGTGCAAATATATAAAAATCAATATGCTAAGTATAGTCATTTTGGGTGCATTTATTTTTCATGAAACAATAATAATTTCAATCCCGAAAAACCATCAATTTTCCGTATAAAATCGAAAAAATCGAGATGTGTCGACTCCCTGACGTGAAAATTAGATTCTACGTGTAAAAATACTTACACATGGATATGCTGAACAGAAACCATGTGTGAACACAGGATACATCGCCCCAGATACTTTTAAAGCGCCTTTACTTTCCAGAATCTTGACGGAATTTTTTTTTTGGCTTAAACGACTCAAGAGACACTGTAGTTAAAAAATATTTAGAATTTTCGATTTTGACACAAAAAAAAAATGTTCGTTCAGGCACACCCTGTATTGTATGGAGTATAGCGCTGGTATTCAATCCTTGCCTTCAGATCAAAATTCTTACAATGAAGCCCCTTGCAAGAGGCGAATTTTTTGTAATTTCTCCCAATTTTTTCTCAGTTATATAGTTGAATTGCTTGCCAAATTCTGAGGTCAATTATATTTAATTGTAATT